TGAGACTGAATTTGAACTCAGATCTTCCTGACTCCAGGCCCAGCACTGTATTCACTGTACCACCTACCTGAGCCCTGGCCTGAAGGACTTACTGCTTGGCATCAGGGAAGATTCAGATTAAATAAGACTCATTACCGATAGGATAGAGACTGGACCTGTGCTTTCACTGATATGGGGAATTCCCAGATGAAGTAACTCCTATAAATGCATGTTGATACTTTTTTTTTTTTCTCCAGGCAATTGGGGTTAAGTGACTTGCCCAGGGTCACACAGCTGGTAAGTGTCAAGTGTTTGATCTGAGGCCAGATTTGAACTCAGGTCCTCCTGACTTCAGGGCCGGTGCTCTATCCACTGTGCCACCTAGCTGCCCCTTTGTTGGTACTTTCTCTGCAATTTGTTAGAGAGCTCTCTGGAGCACTATGACATTAAGTGACTTGCCTAAGGTCATTCCGTTAGTATGTGTTAGAGGTATTATACATGTGTTATAGAAAGGATTTGACTCCAGGCTTTCCTGACTCTGAGACCAGTTTTCGCTGGGATACCATTACTAATTACTAATAATAACACCTCATTATTCTAGGAAATCCATTAAAAATTTTCAGATCTTTGAATTTTAGAATGTTAAAGGTCATCTAATGCAATCCCCTCATTTTATGGATGAGAAAATGGAAGCTCATAAAGGTTTGACTTCCCCAAAGTCATACAGCTAGCTTGTGTTGGAGCTGAAATTAGAGCCCCTGGACTCCTGACTCCCAATTCATGCCTTTCCCAGTCCAGCACACCTAAGATTCCCAAAGAAAACAAACCAAAGCTTTATGATTATGACCATCCTAAAGATGGGATAACTTGAGGGTTGGTAACTTATTCATCAATAATGCCAGAACTAGATTTAAGGTCCAGGCTTCTTGACTTCCAGTCTGGGACTCTTCCTGAGAGGTCCCTAAGCTTTTAGAGTTGGCTCAGAAAGTAGAGGTTAGGGTGGTGGGTGAGGGGAGCTCATCTTTATTCCATTTTAAGGGAAGTGTCCAGGTCACCCATGTCTTCATTCCTCTCTGGGTTTCCATTCCTGACTCTCTACCTTTTTCTACCATGTTACCCATGTGCCATCGCCAGTCATCCTGTCCTGTGTCTTGCCACTGGACCCTGATGACTCTAGAGGAGAGACTGAGGCTGATGACTTTGCATAGCCCTGCCTCACTTAAATCTAATTCACTTGCAAGTCAAGACATCACCCTCCTGATGTCATTGGTCCTCTTTGAGAATGATGCACAGCATCCTTCTCACTCAGGAAATTAACTCTGTCCCTGGTCCCTTCCTCTGATTGACCAGTCCCTCCTAGAGCTTCCATTTTAAAGAAAGTGCCCAGGTCAGCGAGACTCCATTCATAACTATCTGAGTTTCTCCATGACCCCATCTGGGTACCTTCCCTCCCCACCATTCCCAGGCCCCAATTTTTCAGCTTTCTTTTGTGTATTGCCTTCCCACATTAGAATGAAGATTCCTTGAAGTCAAAGACTATCTTTGTTTCTTCTTGTATTTCTCCTTGTGTATATTTGTATTCTCAGCTCTTAGCACAGTATCTGGCACATGGTAAGTGCTTACTAAAGACTTATTCATATATCTTTGGCATACTAAAGATTTTCCCAGAGCCACCTTGTTCAAAGGTGTGTAATTCTGTGTTTACATGCTAGCCTTGATACCTGGGCCAATATGATGTCCCAAACGGTCATTCTCTTCATCTCAGTGTGACTTATAGAAAGCAGGAATGTGGATGACTGCATCCTAGTTGGAAGGGACCTCAGTGGCCATTCAGTTCAAGCTGTTCCTGAACAAGAACCACATTGTCTGCAACAAGTGGTTATCCAGTCTTTGCCTGGGGATGTCCAGTGAGAGAGAAGCTACTTCCCTGGGAGGCTGCCCATGCATTCCACTTTTGGACAGCTTGGAGTTAGGCAGTTTTTCCTGATAGAAAGCTTAAGTCTGCCTCTTTGCAACTAAAACCTATGCCTCCCGAGTCATTCTTTGCCCCTGAATTTGTTTTGGATAGCAGCTCCTAAGATGTCAGAGAGGGAAGTTCTCCAATTGGTAAGCATTTTTAAGGTATCTCTTCTGCCAGGCACTATGCCAGGTGCTAGGGATGCAAAGGCAAAAGGGAGGCAGGTCTTGCCTCAAGGAGCTTATGGGGAAACAACATGTGTGTATATGTGTATGATATGTATGCATACACATGCAAACATTTGTGTATATATGTACATTATGCCTGTGCATACATTGTGCATACATGTTTTGCACGTGTATGTATGTGTACATATACACAAATATGTATATTATATGGACAGCAAGATGGCACAGTAGATAGATCACTGGGCTTGGAATCAGGAAGACCTGAGTTCAAATCCAGCCTCAGAAACTTCCTAGTTATGTGACCTTGGGCAAGTCACTTAACCTCTGTTTGCCACTGGAGAAGGAAATGACAAACCACTCCAGTATCTTTGCCAAGAAAACCCCACGGACTCACGTCCATGGAGTCCTGAAGAGTCAGCCATGACTGAAATGACTAAACAACAACAACAAATAAATGCATTAGACATATGTGTATGTTTGTATATATATGTACAGACAAAACAAACACAAAGTATTTTGTGGGGGAAGTGTGGAAATCTGGAGGAATCAGGAAAAGCAAAGATGAAAGATGGAGGTGAGCTGAGTCTTGATGGAAAATAAGGCTACCAAGAGGTGGATGTCAGAAGGTAGGGCAATCCAGGCATGAAGGACAGCCAGTGCAAAGGCATGGAGATGAGAGATGAAGCTCTGTGTGTGAAAAAGACCTATTTGGCAGAACTGTGATAGAGTGTGTGAAGGGGAGTAAAGTGTAACAAGACTGCTAGGTTGAAGGCAGATTAGGAAGGACTTTAAATGACAGAAGAATTCATATTTAATAAAGATTTTCACAGACTCAATCAGGGTTAACAGGAAGAGACTAAAGTTGACTGATTGGTGACAGTGGGGAAAATCACTTTGGTAGCTGTGTGGAGGATGAATTGGAGATAAATTAGGAAGCCGTTGACAATCCAGGTAAGAGATAATGAGGTCCTAAAACAGGGTGGTGGCTATGTGAGTGGAGATGAGGGGATGAATATAAGAGAAGTTGGTGAGGTGGACAGGGCAAGACTTGGGAAATGTTCTGATATGGTGAGTGGGTGATGGTAGTGAGGAGGAGTCAATGATGAGAGAAAGATTTTGAATCTGGATGACTACAAGATGCTTGACAGTAACAGGAAAGTTGGGAAAATGGAATGATTTGGGAAGTGCCTTGTTTGGACATATTAAGTTTGAGATGCCTACAGGACCTCCAGTTTGAAATGGCCAACAAGAAGTTGGAGATGCTGGACTGGAGCCCAGGAGAGACTAGGGCTGGGAGTGCATAGAGATGATAATTAACCTTCCGAATCAATTTAATCTGTATGGAAAAGATAATTGATTGGCTAAATTAATTTACCCCAATCTTATGTCTTCCTTCAGTGGTTTTTTTTAAAAACATTCTCTCAGGAAAAGAAAATCCCCTTTTCTTTGCATAGATGAGCCCAAAAGGTTCTCCTTGGGTTAATGGTGGCCCTGGCAGAGGAATTTAGGGGAAAGGTTTGTTGGACAGTGGAAAGTACTGGATTGGAGTCAGAAGACCTGAGTTGGAATCCTGGCTTTGCCACTTTTTGCCTGAGAGATCTTCGGCAAATCACTTACGCTATCTGGGCCTCAGTTTCCTCATATGTAAAATGAGGGGTTTCTATTAGACGACCTCTAAAGTCCTTTCCAGCTCTGGAGGGTATATTGCAAGGTCTACTAGCCTTTTGGAGAGAATGACCCATGTGGCTGTCATTTTCAAGAGGGTTAAAAAGAGTTAAAATTCAGGGGCATTGTTTTCTGGGCTTCACTGGGGATGGGGGCGTGAGTCAGTTGCTGTTTTAAGCAAAGCTCATTTTAAAACCTCTTTACCTATGATTGATTATATAAAGATTTGCAGATTGGCGACACAAGCACGATCGTTGAGAGTTTTGTTTCTTCGTTTCCAAGAGACTCATCAAGAGACTCATCCACCACCACAGCCCGAGGGTGTGAAGATACAGTGTTAGGGTTACAGACGCCTTCCTTCCCTTTCTGGTCCCTCCTTTGCAGTCAAGCCTCTCGCGGAAAAAAACAAAAATCCGCTTTGTGAAATAGAAATGGACATTCGATAAAAGTAACTCTTAACTCTAGCTAAACAAAATTATCTAGGACTGCGGCTGGAGCTGCGGGTCTTTGTGTCTCTTCCCAGGAACATTAACGTCGGCAACGCTCTGATCCTCTTAAGTTTAAACCAGGAGAGCCTCTATGCTGCTTGGTGTGGGCACCTGCCTGGTGCTCAGCTCCCAGGCAGCCAGAGGCTAACGCATCTGCCCCGGGCCAGTGCCCTAGGAAGGCTCCGCAGCTTACCCGCTTCTTGCCCATCTCCAGGAGCTAGCACAGAAAGCGAAGGGGTCCAGTTGCTGGGGAACATCCCCACCCCTCAATGATTCCCCCCTAACTCCCCCACCCCCCACTCCTTTCCTTCTAAAGCCTAAACTGGAGCTACAGATTCTCCAATTCCCCGAGTCCCCTCCTCCGAAACGCACACAACCCTCCCTGCGTCCAAGTGAGCTCCGTCCCAGGCAAGCCCCATTGCCCAGGGCCCCAACGGCTGCGTTGGGGGAGTCGTCCCCCCGTGCCAGCTCCGGCACAGAGGTGGGGCAGTACTAGGCGAAGGAAGGACTTGGGAAGGGGAAGGAGAGAAAGGAGTTGGATTTGAAGCCAGGTGAGTCTTAACCTGCTAGGGGAGACAACCCCAGGGCCATTTATGAGGCTGACGGGGGGCCTGGAAGCAGCTTGAGCCCATGTCCTCGTGGGGGCTGGAATGGGGCGAGAAGCTGAGTCTTTCATACTTGTGTTCTGCCGGTTTGGACTAGATCCCCAGCCGGCCCTGTAAAATGAGTCTCGGAACTGCTGGAGCAGGGGGCGAAGAGCCGAGAAGAGTGGCGGGGGCGGGGCGGGGCAGGGAGGGGCGGAGGAATGGGCAGGGCTGGTTGCGTCCTTGCCCTTGGAGCCAAGGAGACAGGCAAGTGGGACAGCGCGGGGCGGGCATGGGGGCGGGCCCGCGAACCCTAGCTCCCTTCCTTCCTTCCCCTCCCTCCTTACCACCGCTTTCCGCCTCCAGAGAGCTCACTTTCCTCGCAGCCATGGGCTCGGCTCACCTGCCGCCCCCGAGCCTCCCTCCCCTGCTCACAGCCGCCTAACTCCGGGAGCGAGATGGAGGCGCTCGCCTGGCTCCTGCCCCCGCTCGTCCTGCTGTGCGCCCAGCAGCACAGATACACCAGGTAAGCGCGCCAGGCGCGGACTCCCTTTCATACCTCTCCCTCTCCGAGTACGGGGTGGGGGAGACTGGCGCATCCAGAGAAGTACCCGGAATTTCCAAAACCCAGAGTGAAGATGGGAGCTGGGGAACGGACACGGGGCTGGACAGCGGCTCTTCAACGAGTCCCACTTTATTCCTTCACCTTGGCCTTAACTAGGAAGGCGCCTCCAAAGGACCTGAACCCAGCCTCGCGAGGCAGCCCCCAGGTACCGGCCCGAGGTCCTTCCGAGGTGACTCGAAGCGTCTTCCTTCCCTACTTTTCCCAACCCTTCCTACCCCCGACGGCAATTCGGAAGTGCTTAGCAGGCTAGGTCAGTGGCTTGGCCCTTACTGGTCATCTAGGTGCAGTGACCTGGAGCTCCAGGCCAGGAGTGCACTCAGTGAGAGGCAGCAGCTCAGTCTAGGGCCGGGAAAGTCCAATAGACCGAGGAAAAGAAGAGTCTACCTACAACCTCCCTTAAGGGTGCTGTCCACGACTCTCGGTTCTGAACCAGGGTGCGCTGAGGCAGCCTAGGAGACAGCTGGGAAGAGATGTAGGGGGGCGGCCTTGTTTCTCTATAACAAGCGCATACTTCCAAAGGCCCACGTCTCCTCCCTAGCTTCTGGGTTGGCCTACCCGTGGGAGGCTGGGACTGGGAACTTTCAAGCGTTCTCATCCCTTAGAAACTTACGGGCTCCTTGACCCTATCCCCATCTCTCTGCCTCCAGCACGAGAAGACAGATGTAAAGAGGGATTCCCTGACCACCAAGGAGAGAACTAAAATAAATGAGCTTCCTTGCGGCAAAGAGTATACGGGTTAGAGGCAAGGAGGAATTTTCTATCCTCTGTAAGGCTGTGATAGACTGAAGTGATGGAGAGACCATGTGGAATCTCCCTTTCCAGAATTCTTTAAAAAGAGGGTAATCGTTGGACTGCTCAAGGGAAGAGGAAATCGTGGATGAGTGACTTCTTAGATGCCCCTCTTAGCAGGAGGAGGCATCTATAATGGAATTTAGATAAACGACTTCTCTATTGTGGGTTTCTCTGGGCAGGGTGAGAGAAGCGCCTGTCAGTGCTGGAGAGCCCCTTGTCTAGCTTAAGGACTGATTTGTTCAAGGCACCGAGGTAGAAACAGCAGGCACCTCCAAAGTGGCAGCTTCCTGCACTATTTGGAATGTTCATGGTTGGTCAATCAGGCGTCCTGCTTTCCAAGCAGATCTTTCTAGAGGAGTGGGGTACCCTGGCCTGAACTCTGCAATCCTGGGCTACATCACTGAGTTACCCCACCTCACATACAAGGCACTGGACACAACGACTCTAAGACTGTGTCTTTTAAAGTTCAGACTCATGAAACATTTATTAAACAGCTACTATTATGTGAATAAGATATTAGTGAGATGGTAATAGAGAAGGACAGCAGTGCAGGGTTGGGGGAATGAGGAAACAGGTGAGAAATGCCAGATCAAAAATGGGTCATCCTGCATTTTGGTTGTTTTGATGGTCAATTCCTTTCTCTTTAAAGTGGATCTGATAGGCTGACATTTTGTATAGTTAAAAAAAAATCCAAAGTGACTAAAAAAGATAATTCTATGCCTGTGTGTGGTCACAGCCAGTGTGAGAGAGACAGAGACTGAAGACAGAGGGGAGCACATAGCTATAGAGACACAGAGGGCAAGCAAGGAGAGGTCGACACAGGCAGATGGAAAGACAGCATGGGGCAATAGAAAGAGCATAGGACCAGGGGTCAGGGGTCCTGCACATCTAGCTGTGTGACCTTGGGTAAGTCACTTCTCTCTGGACCTCAGTTCCTCATCTGTAAAATGAGGAGGTAGGGTAGGTAAGCTCTAAGATCCCTCTTATCACTGACCATCTAAAATAAGAGTAAATTATGTCACTGTTAACTGCTGAGACCTATTGCTTAGAGGAGGGAAGAGGTTCTGAACACTAGAGAAGGCAGTAAGACATGGTTCATAGAGCACTGAATGTGGCCACAGGAAGACCTGTGTTTAAATTCAACATCAGACGCTTATTAGTTGTGTGAACCCCTCCCCACTCCACCCTGTCCTTAATCTCTTGGAGTCTCAGTTTGCTTATCTGTAAAATGGGAATATAATAACACCCACCTCCTAGGGTTGTTATGAGGATGAAATGAGATAATATTTGTAAAGCCCTTTATAAATCTTAAAGTTCTATGTAAGTGTGAGCTATTACTAGTATTTTATTCTGCTGCAGACCCTAATCCTGTTGGGTAGAATATTTCCATGCATCCACTTCCTCCCCATGCATCCAGAATCTTTCCTCCAAAGATCTTGCTGCCCTTTTACCCACATCAATTAACCTTTCCCTCTTCCTTCATTCCCTCCCATCCCTATCATCTCAATTTAACAGAAATTAAAGAGAACAGGGACTTAGCCATAATTGTGTGTACTGAGAGCCTAGGAAACTGCTGCCAGGGTGTCTGAGAAAGAAAAGTGAAAGGCCCCGCCCTAGGCATGTGGGGGAAGGTTCTAGCATTCTTTATCCCTATTCCTATTAATAGGAGTCATGCTGGTCTCATCCCAGAGCTGGGGGGGGGGGGTCCTGACTGTACAACTCTATGTTGAATTAGCACCTGATTCCCTGTTTGAAAACCACAGCCTTCTTTCTACATTTGAAAATCCATAGTTTTAAAATAATTCTAGTCAAAGCATATGCAATTAGCTCCCAAGGACAGTACAGGCAGGGTTCAATCTTCCTCTCTGAGTTCTAGAATTCATGTTAATTTAACTCCATTTAATTTGCATTTAGTATTTCCTCTGTGCTGGGGATGTTCTAGCCTCTCTCCGTGGTTCAATGTTTCATGGGACTGTTGAGTGGGTAGCATAGGAGGTGAGAGTCCTCCACTGCTCAGAGGTATTCCTTCATTCAACAAGGAAGGAAAGAAACAAGCATTTATTGAACACTGACCATGTACCAGGCACTGTGCTAAGTGCTCTACAAATATCATCTCATTTGACCCTTACCACACCCCTGGGAGGTAATTTCTATTATTATCCCCATTTTACATTTGAGGAAACTGAGGCAATGAGAGGTCAAGTGAATTGCCTAGGGTTACAGCTAGTAAGTGTCTGAGGCTGGATCTGAACTCAGGTCAAGGCTCTATTCACTATACTATCAAGCTGCCTCTAGGTGTTACTAAATGTTAGTTAATAAATGAGCATTTATTAAGTGCTTACTGTATGCCAGGCACTGTGGTAGGCACTGGAGATTTAGAAAGAAAATACAGCAGTCTCTGTTCTCAAGGAGTTTACATTCTGGTGGGGTGGAGGGTATGGAAGAATAGTATATATGCAAATAAGTACATACACAATATTGTTGTTGTTGTTGAGTTATATCTGACTCTTCATGACCATTTGGAGTTTTCTTGGCAAAGATACTAGAGTAGTTTGCCACTTCCTTCTCCAGCTCATTTTACAGATGAGGAAACTGAGGCAAAAAGAGTTAAGTGACTTGCCCAAGGTCACACAGCTAGTAAGTATCTGAGGCCAGATTTTAATTTAGGCACATGAGTCTTCCTGACTCCAAGCCTGGTGCTCTATGCAGTATGGCACCACCTAGATGGCCCCAAATACACAATATATACACAGTAAATGCAAAGTAATTTGAGATTGGGCCTTAACAACTCTGGATTGTTAAGTTGTTAAGCTGGTAAGGACAGTAGCACCTGCCCTTGAAAAGACGCTCCCATGTTTTTTGCCTTGGTTAAAAACTTCTTTGTGACCCTCATCTCAAGTCTTTTCTCTCAGCCTCAGCCCAGTGGAGGCATCCCTACTAAGTGAGATTACCCCCAGTGGTTTCACCTGGCCCAAATCCTTAGGCTCATATTCATTCAACAACCATTTGTTTGTTAAGTGCCCAGAGGAGAGGCAGGGTGGCACAGTGGATAGAGGACTTTAAAGGCAAGAAGATGTGAGTTCAAGTCCTATCTTTGACACATATCAGCTGTAAGACCATGGGACAATCGCTTCATCTCTCAGGGCCCTGAGCATCTTTCTAAGGCAAGTTACAAAGATGTTGTTGATCTGCATTAATGAAAGGAAGGAGTTTCCATGCAGTTAGCTCCATATGCTGATGGAATCAAAGGTTTACACAAAAAGAAAACATATCAGATGCCGGGCGAGGTAAATAATGAAATAATCATTGCCCTTGAGAGTTTATAGCCAACTGGGGGGAAACCACAGATCCATAGATAAGTATAGAAGGGATCACTCATAGCCTCTCATCACTACTTAAACCATCTAACATCCATGTGGCAGCTACCTGATGTGTACCAATGAACATGGGGAAGAAAAGATAGAGGGGTAGAGGAAGGAATCCAGGCATGTCCTCCTCGAAGAAGAATACTGTCTGAAAGCTGGTCTTCATTCAACTCAACAATGAAAATAGGGGAAATGGATGAACTCAGATTACAAATCTCTCTCTTTTTATTTCACCTATTTGTCACCCTGAACTGGATGAGGAATTGTATGGCAGTGGGATGTTCCTGCATTGGTAACTACCTGGGGAAAAATCATTAGTTGGCCCCTCTCCTGCCTCACACTAGGTCCTGTTGGGTCTTCCTGCCTTTCCAGATGACACAGTTCTCTGATCTCTACTGGCAAGGCTAATATCAGACACAAAGCAGGGTACTCAATCACTAATATATTTTATATAACACTAAAACGAACACTGGCAAAATTGACACAGAGAAAAGGGGAACCACTGTGTGTGTGTTGACCAGTTACCAGCTATTGCAGAAATGGTAGCTTTCCTATGTTAATTCCTTTTGATCACGGAGAAGAGAAATTCAAACTCCTGAGGAGTGGGGCTGTCATGGTCAGCTGCCTTCTCCCTGGCTCAAAGCTTTTGGGAGGAACAAATGCTTTCTAATGACAACAAAGGTCATCTCAGCCAACCAGCCCATCTCCACTGCATCATTAACCTCTTCATCCAGAGTCTTTCAAAAGAGATGAACAGAGAAGCAGAAATCAGGTGCTAAGTACTTAGCTCTACAAAAGTTCGTGTAGCCTCAAGATGGAGGCAATCTCTCCTTCCACTGTTAGCTCATGGCTTCCTCCTTCTATGGAGAATTCTTTGGGAACTATCCTGGGTCCTAACACAATTCATGACTTCATCGGCCAGTGAGCACCTGGGATAGCAGCTCCATCTCTGTGGTTATGTGGATGCTGGGTCAGATTCTGACACAGGGTTACATAAATAAATATGAAATATATACAAAAGGAGAACATTTGCTGGAGGATGACAGAGAGGATCAGGGAAGATCTTGAGTAGGAAGTAGCATTTGAACTGAACCTTGAAGGAAGCTTGGGATTCCAAGAGGTGGAGGCAAGAACTGAAAGCGTTCTAAGCATGGAGAACAACTTATGCATAGACAGAGAGAAGAGAAATGATAATATCTGACATTCATATAGCACTTATGTATGTAAAGTACTATATGAATGTCAGATATTATCATGTAATTTATATGTAATTTATA